TTTTAAACAGAGGTAAAGTGAGGGTGGAAACAAGATATTTATGAAAGACGTTCAAAGTTTCATTCACGCGAAGGACGCAAGCGTTTCGGTGACATTCTGGGTCGTTGCACAGCGTAACTATTTTGAACTGGTTGCACTTTCTTTTAGTATTTTTGCTAAGTCTAATTAGGGGGCGGCTGACATGGCTGGGATTCCCCAGAATCTGGTAGGCTATTGTTAGGTCGACACGTTGGCACGCATACCAACAGCTGTGCAATCGTAGGGTCCTTAACCAAAGTTCATATAGAAAGTGGGAAAAGCTTGGTGTCTGTTTGCTTTAAAGTCGTGAGCACCACAATATTTTTATTGTACCATGGCAGCCACGCGCATATTTCGTGTTCTAAATAGGGTCAACGATATGTTTTAAGCAGCTGCGGATAGACAGACGCATCGTAGTTCCCGAATGCACTCCGCCGGATATCAACTTGTTGCTTTCGGGTCTTAGATGCCTTTTTAGCTTGTTCTGAGCAACATAAATCAGCAGCAACCGGTAGCACAAGATCAAGTTCCTGGGTGAGGGATTGTAGGCTACTGTTACCAAGATGGTATATGATCTTCGGCTGGGGACGAATTTGGACCAGCTTACACTTAACGAATTACCATGAGCAGATAGCGAACTGACAATCCATAGGCCTAGCAAAATATTCGATGAAGTGCATCGTGATTTATTTGGTCTAGGATCGTTCGCCACATCGTAGCATCAGTTGGATTCGGGACACTTACGTAGCATGTGTGGTACGCAAACCAGCAGAAGCAAACTGATTCATCGCAAATTACTGATTCCGCTCATGGCTGACTTGGTCTTAAATGGGTAACAATTATCAAACCCAATAAGAAGACGGTAGGTGCATGCAGTAATTATCGTCTCCTCAATGCTGAAAACGAAAAGTTGTAATTTTTTACCACAGTTTGTGGGTACAGACATATATAGAAACAAAAGAGAAAAAATGCAAGTGTCTTTCTTCTACAACCAGGGCAGCTTGAGGCTGACTGATAATTGTTTTTGCACACAGAGCACTGGCTTAATCCAACCAATAGCAATAATCTCGGCAAACCGGAGGAACTGGAAATTGGTATGGCGAAGCATACTCCTAAACACCTTTTTAAACTAAATTGGGTGACCCGATGTAAATATGTGTCTGCCGATCGAGGATGGCGGCGACCTGCGACCACACGTAGTCTGATTTGGGTTTGCTTGCTGAATAATCCCGCATTTAACCCATTTCGGTACATGCTCCTTTGGTCGGACGCTCATTGTTCGATTGGTCCTGCCTATGTAACTATCTCGACAGTTTCATACGAATTGATATGCACAGTGGGAGTTGGCACAAGTAGGCTGTTTACTTTAGTGGAGGCAACGGAAGCTAATGAGTTCGGTGGATGATTACAACTTCAGCAGCACAGAAAATGCTCTGTGTTGCGGTAATCAAGGGCAATGTCACTCTTAAGGTCAGCTCTAATAATACCGTTTCTTTAAGTATAAAAGGTAAATAAACTTTCACTTCGCGGATTTGACGATGCTCCAGGATAAATTTTCTTGGGTAACCATTAGCAATTAGTGTGATGTTACGTAGTAATAGTTCATCGGCTGGACAATCTGCCGAACATTTTTGTCTGACGCGAATAAATAGGGTTTCAAAAGCGTTCGCTTATGCCGCATTGGACTAAAGCTGGTAAAATGCAGATACTGTCCCGACCACGTTGTTTTTCGGTAGACAGATAATTTTACCGGTCCGTTCTCCCGCGGCTGATGAGAACATATAAATATGGAAGAGAGTTCTGTTGCACGTCTTCGCGGAAATCCCTCAAATTGACATGCGACGAGTTATAGTGTGTCAATACCAGTGCGATGTATATTTCCGGTGATTAGAACACCAAGATGTCATCCACGGAACGCTTTTAATAAAGTAACTGGGCTATTTCTTCTGATAGACTTCGTTCTTTTATCATCACGACGAAATCCGCTAGTATGAGACCCAGTGGGCTGCCCATGGCTCCCCCACCAATCTGGTGAAAGGGTATGTTTCGGAACTAGAAATCGGCGTTCTCTGTGTATAGAAGTAATGACCCTATTAAGAATTCAGCCAGAATCGGCAACGAACATCCGGAAATTTCTGCTAATGTGCGGATGTAGTCGACGGTCTGGTGTGGCAGCACGTTAGTAAACAAGTACTTCACACCTAAACAATATCACCTTATTAGACGAGTTCATTTTATCGAGCCCTTCGACAAGTTCGAAGGAATCTATGAGGCCATGAAGATTAAATTTAGCTTTTAGCGACACATTAACCAAGTAGCGAGCTAATTTATATCGGGGTGCGTTCGTCATCGAGAGAATCAATCTGAGCGGCGTTCCGCTCTTGTGCTTTTTTGGAAGCCATGTAGCTGTGGCGTAGTTACTCCACTAGGCTTTAAACTGTTATATGTAACGCTGTCGAGCACATGATACTGACGAAGCATTTATAAGGAACGAATAATGCGTGTTATGAATGCAGTCAAATTCTCTGCCTTCTCCAGTCGCTTAAACTTGTTTGTGCCACTGCGCATGACGCTCATCGTCTCGAATTATCCATCCTTGTTCATGACTAGGACTTCTGATCCATAAGCCGGCTTCATTAGAAAGACAACCTTAGCCCGCAATTTGCGTAACACTCGTGGACGTCTGTTTATAAGCGTGCACTTTGCTTTTATTGTTGCATTTTTACTTCATAGGCAACTTTGGTCAGTTTGTTTCTAAAGCATATTATCTTATCGCTACTAGTTGGTTAAAGATCTTTCATCAGAGCAAAAATTTCCTCCAAATCAACCTTAATGAACAATCCTTAGAATCGACTATGAGGCACTGTGATAAAGCTTGAAAAACAATGCATCTAACTGCAGTGCATCATGTTTCATATTTGACAGATTCACTACACACTTACTGGAGTCACGAGTAAATGGTTCCTCATGTTGGTTGCTCCTCAATGATTTTACGATCAATGTTAGTTCTGTCATTTTGGTACGACCGATTTCAACTTCACGAAATTGGGTGTATAAAATCCGACACCAGACGGACAAGTTTTCGACTACGGACAGCAAGTGGGCGTGGGTTCCCAGTAGGACATCAAGTCTGGCTCTTGCGGTCTCCAGCTGAGCAGATGCGATGCGTCTGAGATTAACTGTATAAGGTTTAAGCCTCTTTCTGTGTAACAGTTTCCAAATCGCCCGAGGAAAACAAAGTATGCGCAAGGAATCCGAAAAGAAATTAATTTCCACATGCATGCGGGCAATGCTGCTCCCCAGATCGCAAATCCGATTAAACAGTTTCAAGAAAACAGCGGAAATTCTTCGTTCGCGAAGATTAAAATAATCATTTCCCCTTAGTAAATTAAAAACCACAATAAGAAGACGAATTCGGTAGGTACATGCATTAATTAACGTCCCACCAGTGGTGATAACGAAAACCTGTAATTTTATACTACAGTTTGTGGGTACAGACATTCATACAAACAAAAGAGAGAAAATGCAAGTGTCTTTCTTCTACAACCAGGGCAGCTTGAGGCTGACTGATAATTGTTTTTGCACACAGAGCACTGGCTTAATCCAACCAATGAAAATAGTCTCGGCAAACCGGAGAAACTGGGAATTGGTATGGCGAAGCATTCTCCTAAACACCTTGTTAACCTCAATTGAGTGACCCGATGTAAATGTGTCTGCCGATCGAGGATGGCGGCGACCTGCGACCACACGTAGTCTGATTTGGGTTTGCTTGCTGAATAATCCCGCATTTAACCCATTTTGGTACATGCTCCTTTGGTCGGACACTCATTGTTCTATTGGTCCTGCCTATGTAACTATCTCGACAGTCAAATACGAATTGATATACGCAGTGGGAGTTGGCACCAGTAGGCTGTTTACTTTAGTGGAGGCAACGGAAGCTAATGAGTTCGGTGGATGATTACAACTTCAGCAACACAGAAGGTGCTCTGTTTTGCTGAAGTCAGTGGTCCTGAATTCTTCAAAACCATGTGTAAAGTTGATTATTACTTTCAGGTTCGTATATATGGCCTGACTATATCAGTTAACTTATCTCTCATATGGGTCATTTTTGCTGTTCATCTTTTGTGGATGGATTGCTTCATTCCATTTCAATTTGGACGGCGATATCTTTAGATGTGAACCTTGGTCTTTCGATCACGATAATCGGAGCTGAAGCGGATAGAAATTTGGTGTTGTCCTTATGACAACACTGTCCACCGTTTTACGTTTCGGTGTAATTTTCTCTCATCAGATTGTGACATAGGAATCAAACCCGGGACCAATAAGATGTTAATTCAGATGGTTATCTCTAATCTACTTCGTCACGACGAGCAACGCATGGTGCTACATTTAACGATGTATTTTGCTTGTTATTTTTGAAGTACACTTTGTGTGGATGGGTTGAGACATGCATTATCAATATGGACCTTGATTCCAATTGAGGTGAATATTGCTCTTTGTATCACGAGGATCGTAGCTGACGCAGATAGAAATTGGGTGTAGTCCGTCCGAAAACACTACTGTATGAAACGTTTTAAGGTTATTTTTTCTCATCAGATAAATATAGCATGAATCGAACACTGGACCATTGGGATGTTAGTTGTGACCGCTACCCCTTAGCCACCGGGTCAAGACGGCTACGCATTTAAAGCCCTGGCATATTATTTACAAACTTCTCGGGCACACCATTCCTGGTTTGACAGTCTTAAAGGACATGTCGATACAACGAATCGAAATCACCTTTGATATCGAGGTGCACGACAACGTTAAGCTTTGACCGTTCTCCAACAATGGACGCGACGTAAAGATGGAATCGATGCAGTTACGACCTCGATGAAGCTTTGTTTGCTCTTCACTAATCTCGCTTCCCTGTTGTCAGTCAGTCAGTGAAGGACCAAAGAGGGAAGCGTTTTGGAGGCGGTGGAGATAAGGCTGATCACACCATGGCTGCCGCCTTCCCAAGAGGAGCCTCTTTTGAACATAAGGACTATGACGGATTGGCTCCGGTCTGTTGGCCAGCTCAAAATTATTTTTACGAGAGCCTATTGCACGCTGGCCGCTCAGATGCAACTCATCAGTGGACAGTTTTACAAATTGAGCGATCAGATCCTCAGCCAGCTGTAAAGTGTTGGTGTTTCTTCTGGGACGAAGGAGACCCTTCAATTGGCGATAGATGTCGTCTTTTATCAACTCATCGCTGTAGTTTGTGGGCGGGTAGACAGTGGTGCGTGTAGACATCTGTTAGTCCCACGCGAGTTCGAGGCTTTGAACAAGCCAGCCAATCAGACCACACACATCCAGGTACCGCTGCGGACTAAACCAAACAAAGCAGCTTCAACCAGGGTACTCAGAAAAATTCCAACACCGGCTTGAACGTTACTCGAAGCTGCATCGACCCGGATGGGCGCGAAGAGAATGCAAAGCTGGTGTCACGTGAAGGAGATCGCAAAGAGGGAATAGCTCGAATCTTGAAGGTGGGTTTCCGCTAAGCTGCAGATATCAATCGAGAGAGTCTGTAATGCGCGGACAACTGCTAGCCTTTGACCGACTTGTAACAATGTGCGCATTTTGAGTCATGCCAATCTGAAGGGGATCGACCGCTCCAGTTAGAAGCCGATATGTTGTTTGTGCATGGGCTTAGCTACAGGACAGGATTGACGCACGGCGTTTGCATCTAGTTTGAAACTAGAAGTGAAAGGCCTAGTAAAGCAAGGTGCCGAAGAGCAAAGTATTGGGATTTGAAAACCAAGTGGAATAAAAGTGAAGTTGGAATGGGATGATAAGGAGGAAAAAACTTAAGAGGGGAGATAGGAAGACGGAATGTCTTGATGAGTGGTATCCAAACCCCTATCCATCCTACTCGATGCAGCAGATAAGGGGCAGCTAATCATTCTCTGCGACGGCCAGAACAACAAGAAATCATTAGAGAGAAGTGCATAGTAGTATTGCGCGGGCAATATACCGTCAGATCCACCAGGCCTAAATGGAGAACGATTAGTGTTCTCCCCCATAACCGTTGGTTTAGCAAGCTGACCGCAAGGTTTGGCATTGGACGACATTCTGGTGTAAGTGAGTGAAGATGCGAACACAACTCGATGGATCACTAAGGCATGCAAAACATCGCACCACGGTAAGATACAGTCTCATTGCGATGGTCAGTGTGAAATTAATTGCAACCTGTATTTACTGGCACCAAAAATTATGCGCAGATCTAGCACATTTTACCAACACTGTTTTCCAAAGATAATATTTGGTTCTGTGAAAATACTGGTGTTGGGAATATTGAATAATCCCTTGATAGCATCTGGTAAGAAAGGACTGTTTGCCGGTGCAGAAGGTGGAAGTTTTTGCTACGTATACTTAAGAACTAAGGTGAGTTCACTTCGCGTTACAAACCTTCGCTGGCAAATGCAGCGATATCCCTCCTTAATAGTCCAGGACAGAATGCAGGATGCAAAAGTGTCGTGCATCCGCTTTGGAGGAATTGACCTATAGTTTATTGGTGAATGCATATCTTTTGGTAGTCTTAGGCGGGACAAATTCATGTAATAATTCAAGTAATAAGAAACGTACGTCTACAAAATTGAGTAACATTATTAATGTATATATTATAGTTTATTATTTGGTATGTTTAGTATTATTAGTTATTAATCACCTACTAATATATCACCAAGTCTCCTTAAATAAACTATTTCGTGTGTTTGAGTTGTCAACCAGTTACGAACATCAGTAAAACTGTAAGCGAATAAACCATTATTATCACCTCTACGTAACCGGATATTCCACATCCAAGCATCCAGTTAAACTTGGTCCGGAGTTGGAGATGTTATACTATAGAGATAAGCATATTGGAGCTGGGAATGACTCGCATTCCGTTTTGCAACGTAAAAATGGTACTGAAGTAGTGTCACGATAATGCTTTAGCCTCACAGCAACACCTCACTTTCAGCTTGACATTTGGTTACTAAATGTTTAAACAAAAGAATATTCAAGCACAATTGATTTATGCGAAACGAACTGTAAGTAGTTCATGCCATTTTTTCTCTCTACAAGTTTATGTACAGATCACGCACCAGAAAGACAGTGATGTTTGCAGGGAGTATCTAAGAGGTTGGTCCAGATGGGCAGAAGATGAGCAATTGTACCTTCCGATTTCGTGTTGACAGAGTTTTCTATCGAATGGTGTGACGAAAACCAGAGTAGACATTTTAATCACTTGAAAGTTGCTCCCATTTGGTGTGAACCGCATCTATGCTTGCCACTTATTGGCAGAATTTTTATACTGTTTGTTCAAAACACGGAGTGAGCGACTGGAATTGTAGTGAACTTCACTTCATATCGTATACGCAAAAACGGGTTCGCTGCTGAATGGTTTTTGTAGCTGGAAATATTCACATCAGGATCCAGACTCAGACTGTCCCGAAGAAGGTATGAAGCCGGTAGCACTAGGATATCGCGTTTCGTTTATGATTATTTTGCAAGACTAACGAAATCAAATCTTTCGATTTGAACTGATCACATTGAGACTACCTTGCAGCACGTTGACGTAGTAAAGACATTGACTTGAGAAACTCTTCAGACATCTAAAATGTCCTGGGTTAATATAAGTTTTCATATCTATCACTTTCTTGTATTAGGTGCTAAGAAGATGAACATTCGACGTTTTAACACGTATTAATTAAAGTAAGCTTATCACTTATTTTAATCTAAGTAGCACGAGCACGTTTAGCGGAAATGAATATACAGGCTTCAAAAAGCCGCCCTTTAATATCGATAAAATATGTATTGAACAATCCGATTTTCGCATGCAAACTAGTTTATGACCAATCCCAGGTGTCGTCCGTTAAGCTGAAGCAGACTCGATGCTTAATTTACCACCAGAAACAAGCAACCAACCGTCCTGCACTCCCCGATTACTCGAATTCTACTGCAATTTTTGCGTATGGCTAAATCTCATGAAATCCGAATCACTGAATCAATCGCTTGTCTTAGAATAAAGTGCCGCATTCCGATCTACTAAAGTATGTTCAGTGTTCATGGCAGACTATGACCAATCATAACAGTGTAATTCAATGTCACCCAAACCAACCTCGAGGACATATCTCACGAAAGGTGTCAATAATCAATCAGAGTGAAACCAAGCTTGGAACTATACTGCAATAGCGTTGAGGAAACATTCATTAGTCCACTTGTATTTGAATCTTAACTGTCACAATAAAAGCTTATTACGATGTACCCAGTAACTGTCGAATATTCAAAACGATCGACAAATCCTACTTATTATCATCCATTTCGGTTAATATGCTGCAGAGCATTTCATTTCATGAATTTGAACCTGCTACAGAACAGATTGGGATCGGAGTATCTTGAACACATGTATTAAACTGATCACGCCATCTCGAGTGTGCTCTGAGTGTATTCGAGCCCATGTGATCTCTAGTGTTAAACTGTAGAACAGTATTCACGACACAACGAACAGTAATTCTGCAGCTTGAAATTTCTTTGCCTTTATACTGTGACCGAGATGTGCTTCTAAACACTACGTGTGTATTCTACGAATAGAACAGGCAACTTGTGTACTATGATGCTTCCTCAATGGAAACGCACTATTTAACCAGCAAGACTATGTGTGCACCCATTTCCAAAGCTTAAGTATACTAAAGTAGAAGGAACAAAGGATCGGGACGGTGAAAACTCTTCCATCCTCGTGCACGCAGATGTTTTTCAACTACTATAAATTAAACCAAATGAGCGCGCAACAAGTCCTTTACGCTATAATGCATTTGTTGTAATCGAGAGTTGTCAGTATGTACACTTGAGATTTCAGACTATAACGGAACAGATAGAAAACGCAAACTTTCAGTACTCTCTCTTACTGTCGACACGCAGTTTATATTTATTTTCAACACCATATACTTATTAACAACGATGGGAGCTAGATTTGTTTGCTGAATGTTCCACGGTGGATATTCGTGTTCGGATAACTGCAGTGATGCTCACTTGCTCTGCTAAATGTAGACTGTTGTCTGCCACTACTCTTGTAGGTCTAGTTCCGAGAAATAATTGGCCTAATGCGAGTAACATAAGGTGGGTTACCGAAGTCCTGCCACATATGTTCTTAGTGACTTGTTTGCAGCAATAATATTTGCACAAATTGTATCACTCATACTTAATTTCGATTGTAGCGCATGCCCCAAACATGTAACCCACGGTGTCACGTGCCGTGTGTTAACCTGATTGCGCGGGATAATTTGGACATGTGAAACTGCATGAGCCGAAGTGGTTTGTTAGCAGCTGTGCATGTAACTACGTAGTCTAAATTGTTTAATAACCCACTGGCTGCCATTCCTTATAGAAAGTGTCACCAAAGTGATTGGTAAAGTAGGTGAATGCTTCCGGAAAGACAGAACGGCGTGAGACCTAAAGCTAGCTGGTTGCCGTTAACCACCACAGTTGTGGCCAGTGGTTCAAATGGGAGCAAGAATTTTTGTGGTTAAAGTCCAGCAAGAAGTTCCATTTAGAAAATGATAGTACTCATTTGTGAATACGGGGATCACAAGAATCTATCAACGGACGAAACGACAGAATTAGCAGCAATGACGTGAATAAAGATTTATACTAAAAACAGAGTTATGTAATGACTGGCGTTGGGAAATGCGCCACCTAATTGCTTCTGCCTATTAGGTTCAAAAATAAATCCAGTGTGAATTGATGTCTTTCCTATGTCACAACGATACTTTGAGTGTTGGATATGTCGGGTGTTTCTCGAATACCGGCCGATATCCATAGGACGAAACTATGAACCGAATAAGAAACGACAGAGAAAATTGAGAATTCTGAACATAAAACATATCGCGAAGTCTACAAGTAATCCAAAACAATAACATAAGCGAGGAATAATGTAACGCGCAGCTCAGTGGGCAGGAAATACCATCAGTAAAACAAATATATAGTTAGTAGGTACGAAGGAAAACAGAATCACGTTATGAACTACTGAGAAACTGCAAGTTGCAATTTCAGCCCAAATGTACCAGTCGCTTCATCTACCAAGAGCAAAACGAAGAATATTAAGAAGTTACTGATATTTTCCAGCTCCTATCCCAATGAATGTCAGAGCACAACAGAAAAATTCTTCTGGTATGCTTAGGTATTCAAACAGCGGGATTTTGTTCTATCTGTTCTACAACTGTCATTTCAGTTCTTTTGCCAATATCTACTGTTGGATCAG